TCTGTGAGGTGATGAGAGGAGGCCGCTGCACTGTTTGCTCCAGAAAGTGTCCTGCATCAGCTCATGTTAAAGCAAAGTGGATATACAAGATCGAAACAAGGAGAGTGGAGAAGAAAATACCAAAGATGAAACATGACTCTGAAAATAAAACAAAGTGTGAGGAGCAGACACACTCTCTGGAAAACCTTGAAAAGGAAAAGCAGCAACTTCTGGAACAAAAGTTCAAACTTGTGGATGAGGCCTACCAACATGTCATAAGACTGGAGCAGATTGCTCTCAAGGTGGATTCAGTGTCTATTAATGTCCACTTGGACCTCCTGATTGAGAAGACTAAAGAAAAGGGAGACCAAAGGAAAGTCCAGAAACTGGAGGAACTGAAGAGGAAAGTGGATGAAGGAACCAAAGCAGCACTGAGATACAAAAATGCTTCTCAAGTATAGTTTATGAAGAGAAAGACATTTGTGAAAACATTCATGGGAAACATCCAGAAGTTTAACCCACTGGTTCAGAAATGTTCATCATACGTTGCCTTCAATATGTGGTGGAGGGATTATTGCCTGTCAGTAAAGTTTACAGGTTGAGATAAAAATACAGGATTTTAAAATCAGAAGTACAGTTTATTTGTCTTTTGGTTTTTAATTTAACAATACTTGATGTAAAATCTGTTAAATGGATGACAGAAATTAATCAAATGTACAAGATATGCTGAAAAAATATATGCTAGCATAGCATTAAGCATATCTAAAGGACTTGGTGTTCATACTGGAAATTATTACACAAAGTGTCACACGCACACACACACACACACACGCACACACACACACACGCACACACACGCACCCCCACACACGCACACACACACACACACACACACACACACACGCACACACACACACACACACACACACGCACACACACACACGCGCACACACACACACGCGCACACACACACACGCACACACACACACACACACACACACACGCACACACACGCACACACACACACACACACACACACACACACACACACGCACACACACACACACACGCACCCCCACACACGCACACACACACACACACACACACACACGCGCACACACACACACGCACACACACACACACACACACACGCACACACACACACACACACACACACACGCCTTACCATATTTACTTACTCAACATATTTTAAAACCATTAGAAATAATTTGTTACGTCTTTGAATCCAACTGATTCATTCATTCACATTTGGTTTATTGTGGGTTTTTGGAGTCTGAATAAAATCTGTGTAAAAATTGTTCAATGTATTTTTGTTAGATCATCACTTAGTCCAGAGGTTCCCAAAGATTTCTGGCCCCTCTGTGGATTACAATAATATTCATAGGGTTTTATTGTACTGCTTGCGCCACAAGGCGGAAAAACTTTACCACTGGTTGGAAAAAATCAACTGTGCATATCGTTTCACCAGACATAAACTTTACACCTATTTTGGTTTCAAACTCCACTGAAGTTTTTTTCACACTTCAGTTGGCAGCAAAACACACTACACACCATCTTTACAGTGAAACACTTTGTGTAACTGTCTTTTTTCATTGATCCGTACTGCTTCCTGCGTCCCCCAGGGGGCGCCCCACACTTTGGGGACCACAGATGTAGTCGAATGTGGTCAGGTAAATAGTAAATGCTCTGCATACATATAGTTCCTTATCTATAGCTCCTTATTTATGCACATGCAGGTGTCCATTTCAAAGCTGTTAAAGGTTGATAACAGAGGAATGTCCTGAATGAATAACCCAAAGGAAATCCTGATGAAAATATTGGATATGTCTTAAAACTGGATATACATTTACAAAATGCAAAGTGAAAGAATCATCAGAAGAATTATAAAATCCTCCCATCTCCACGTAATAATTTCAATGTATAAATGTATACATTTTCCAGCTTCCTGACAGTGTTTGAGATATGATTTATAATATTTTACTGCACAGTGGAGCCTGTGATGGGCTGGCGGCCACGGCGAACCTCGAGTCCACTGACTGCTGGAGGTCGGCACCAGCAGCCCCGATGAACCTGCCTGCAGTGTTAGATGATAAAGGATCAGTACTGGCTGTAGGAGGGGCTTAAACATACCTATGAAGAACAAGACATTATATATTAAAAACAAGAAAATATATCAAAGCCAGGTTTCTATAGTCCCAAGTTTCCAGAAGTGGGATGTCCCAAACGCCTTTGTGTCGGCTCTGACAGGTCCTTTCTGAGCGCTGAGTTTCTGCTCATCATTAGAAATGTCATATTTTTGTTTGGAGGTTTAAGAGCAAACACAAGGATAACAAGACATAGTGCCATTTTTAATCAAGTCATGGCACAAAGTATTAAATTAACTATTTATTAAACTATTAAAGTCAAAATCCACTTTACAACTGAAAAGCTGAATAATTTTCCTAAAGCCCTGTGTTTGTCTTGGATGGCAGGAGACAGAATTTGTTGGGAGTTTTGGCTTTGGGCCTTGGGTGGGCCTGTCATTCCTACAGTTGTCCACTAGAGGGAGTCCCAGAGCTACGGTTCCCTGCTGGCTGATCAGATGCAGCTGTTATTGATCAGGCTCTTCTACCACACTATATGAGGAGGAGCAAGTTCCAAAAACTTTAAAGATTGGCCTACAAATCATCAAACAAGTATTCAAAAATTCTAATCTTGATAGATATGCAAATGAGATTAAAAATCCTGACTGGACATAAGAGGAATTTCATATGTTTGATAAATATTATTCTGAACAAACATGGTCCTGGCAAGAAGTTCTCAGTGTGTTTGTTACACACACCATAACCATATGATCATTTAAAATAAATGGTGATTAAAGACCAAGCTGAGCTAACTGCAGTTATCTGGACCTCAGTAAGACTGGCTAACATTACTTGAACTGAGAAATTCTATAACAAGACCTCCTGTTAAAAGTCTGTCCGTTCTGGTACAACTACATTACCCATGGTGCATCTGTGTTTTCCTTTGCTTGTTATCGTTGCACATAGCTGGGCTAGTTTTTTGATCTCATGTTCCTGTGTTACTGTTGTAAGGAGTGGCGTCTGCGGGTGACATCCACCATCAATCCCTTTTATCCTGTTTGTGTAAAACCTGTGTGCGTTCTATATGATATAACCACACACACACACACACATACATAAACTCATCTACTGTACCACCTTTCATCCCATATTCATCGATGCTTGTCAGTCTACAATAAACCTTCGAAGCTGCATCTGCAGAGTTGCCTATTCCTTCTAACAGAGGAAGATTCAATTGATGAGAGATCTGAATTAGTGCCTGTCTGACGCACACAGAGTTCTTACACCTCCTATCAAAGTAAAATGTACAAAGGTAAAAAGACAGTAAACAATTAGGGATAACAGTAAATTCACTCTTGAAAGGCAATACCTTCACTTCCTACTACTTGGAGACAGATTTTTAAATGATATAAAATAGCTAATCATTAAAACAATTATTTTCTAAAGATAAATTCCTTCAGAATATTACAAATATATTGTAATAGATTGACACTGAATAAACCTGTTATACTCAGGGTTTTCAGTCTCTGAAATGGAGAGATCCACCAGGTAACTCAATCCAGGATCAAGTCACCTATGAATGCGAATAGAGCAAAAGCCCTCATCAATGGAACGGAGGTAACACGGTAACACGCAACGGGAGAAAAACAAGCCTGAAAGTTTGGATTTCTCAATAGACTTAACGATGGCATAAGAATATCAAAACATTCTTAATAAAAAGTGCAAAACCGAAAAGTATAAAAACAGCAGTACTGTTGATGCTGCAAAACAGTGAGAGTTAGCATGACACAGTGTTATATCAGCAGCAGAGGCTTAGCAATATTATTGTTGCTGCACTTCCTTTTATTGGTGGACTAACTAAATGGGCTGTCAGGGACCTGGGGTGTCCTCCATAAGTTAGTGCTTTCTTAAATGTATTGTGCTTTGTGCACATACAGATCAGCAGTGATGATCAGCAGAATATCAGGATTCCAATTCCTCATTGTTTGAGTGTTGAGCCTTGTGGTAAAATCTAATTCCTCTGCAGTCTCTTGTAATTGTAATTGGAACAAATTATTGCCTAAAGGCCAAACCTTCACTAGATATCTGCAGAAAGGGTACATCTGTATAACAAATAAAGGAGGTGAGGCTCTTTGGAACTTGTATATAGTAGACTTTCCTAGAATAAACATATCCTGCAAGTGATCTCCATAATGGGTAGTAATATATTATTAAAGGATGTTCAGAATATGAAACTACAAAAACAGCCTCATGTCATTCATACTGTATTGTTTCAGTTGGATTATTGCTTTGTTTGGTCCAACAAACAATTTTATATCTCCCTCTCTGCTTAACGGACTGACTGTCACACTGCCAGAGTTAGGAAGTCTGGGACAGCTGGATCGGAGGGACAGCAAGCTGAGGCCGTCAGGAGAGGAGCTGTGTCAAAGTTATGCACAAATAAATGTTTGGTGAGTGTGACGGGGTTCTTTTATGACTTGGGCCACCACACATAAAGATTGACGGACCAAGGCCAGAGATTATCTTAATGAATTTTATTTTCTATCAAAACAGTGAATAATAGGTGGTCGATGAAGGATACTTATAAAAATGTCCAAAAATGAGTTAAAAATCAACACAGCACAGCAGTACCTTCAAATCCCAGTTCATGACCTCCAATGTGACACCTCTAGAGTCCAGGTGCCGACTGCCCTCTGTGAAACAGCCCTGCTTTTATAGCTGCAGGCTCCGCCCAGAGGAAGTCCCATCAAACCAAACTAAACTAAACAAAACAAAACTAAGCAATTATTTCTAACTCAAATCCTTGAAATATACAAAATAATAATAAGGAAGGAAAAATAAATACATTTATAATCAAAATACACCCAAACAAAAAACAAAAACAACCAGCACATTGTGATGATGCCACATCACATAATTGGCTCCCGGCTCCTGGGTGAAGTTGTTTCCGCCTCCAAGCCGGAAACAACTTCACCCAAAAGAAAACCGGAAAAACATCTACCTGGAATAACCGATTAGAATGAACGTCAAACGAAAACACCGCGTGTGCACCGACGATGAATCGCCTCAATCCAAACTAAAAGGAAAAGAAACAGGTAAGTTTAGAATTGTGCATGTTTGCTAACAGGGACTCTCCAATCGTGACGGCTCCTCCGTCACAGTGAGCAAAAGTATCTAAAAATAGCTTTAATAGCAACTCATTTCCACCAAACACAACATAGATTCACAGCAGTGATGTTGAAATGGACCATTTTTGTGAAGCACAACTTGACCCTGAGATGTTTGGTGGTCAGCATCTGATCCAGAAAGAGCCAAAAAATGACAAATTTTCAAGAATGACAATGCATCAGTGAGTATTTTGTTAATGATTTTTACTGTTAATTATAGCAACAACAAAATCATAGCTGAAGGCAATGCTGCTATCTCCTCTTTAACAGGGACCAAGAAGAAGTGGTCCAGTTAGTCAAGATGTTTGTTGGACATTTATTCATCTATTTTTGGTCCACAGAAACTCATGTTCAGGCTTAGAGTCAAGAAAACCATTAACACAAATACCAATTTACGATAGCAACAATAAATAATGAACATGAGCGAATAACAGGCAATATACAAGTACTGATGAACAAAAACTGACAGGTTATGTGAGAAATAAATTAAAATATTCTATTTTTCTGAGATTTTGAGTGAATTTTGTTCTTAACATTAATTTTATTGCATAACGTGTGTGTGTGTGTGTGTGTGTGTGTGTGAGAGATGAAGCTACTAAGTGAATGGAAGTCAAGACAATGTCCTAAAATGGGCAGAAATACACACCTGAGAGTTCAAAACAATGTTGAAATAAAACCAAACACATAAAATAAACTTTTGAAAAACTAAACTAGTATTTTCATCTCAATTTTTATTGGGGCCTGCCCATAGCAATGCATAAATCCAGCAGTGACTGACTTCCCTTGCAAATCAGTCACTGCCATTCAAGGCATAGCGCTGCAATAATATTAGCTTGCATTATCTTTTCTCTCAGGTTACCACATTAACTTTAGCAACTGTGGGCAACTGTGGCTGTGTGGCAGAGTTGTCGTCTTGCAAATAGCACAATATAACTCCAAGTAAATCAAACTTCTGTGAAATCAAACTGTCCACTTAGAAAGCAACACTGATTGACAATCAATATCACCTGTTGTTGTGCAAATGGAATAGACAACAGGTGGAAATTATTTTCATATTTATTTCATTCATTCAGATCTAGGATGTGTTATTTGAGTGTTCCTTTTATTTTTTTGAGCAGTGTATTTCTCTTCATAAACTATACTTGAGAAGCATTTTTGTATCTCAGTGCTGCTTTGGTTCCTTCATCCACTTTCCTCTTCAGTTCCTCCAGTTTCTGGACTTTCCTTTGGTCTCCCTTTTCTTTAGTCTTCTCAATCAGGAGGTCCAAGTGGACATTAATAGACACTGAATCCACCTTGAGAGCAATCTGCTCCAGTCTTATGACATGTTGGTAGGCCTCATCCACAAGTTTGAACTTTTGTTCCAGAAGTTGCTGCTTTTCCTTTTCAAGGTTTTCCAGAGAGTGTGTCTGCTCCTCACACTTTGTTTTATTTTCAGAGTCATGTTTCATCTTTGGTATTTTCTTCTCCACTCTCCTTGTTTCGATCTTGTATATCCACTTTGCTTTAACATGAGCTGATGCAGGACACTTTCTGGAGCAAACAGTGCAGCGGCCTCCTCTCATCACCTCACAGAACTCAGGAAGCCAGGTCTTGGTGCATCCGTCTTTGTGGCAGTTTTCCTTACAGACAGGACAGGTCACCGCTCCTTGGTAGAAGATTAGCCACTTCTGTCCACCTTTGATAGGTTCTCTAGTAACATAGGGCTCATCAACATGTATAGTGACCTCTTTTTCCTTCTCTCTTCTTCATGCATCTTCAGTCCTTCCTGAATCTGTTTGATTTCTGTCTGCTTCTGTTCAGTCAGCCCGATTCTGTCCAGCAGGTTTTGGATGCAGGCTGTCAGTCTGATGCGTTCATTCATCACTTCTGTTGTTGTTTTCAGTTTTTGAGGTGACATTTTTTCAACAAAGGCTGTAAACTCCCGCATTCCTTTGTCTGATATTCTTTGAGCTGTGGTAAAGTATTCTGCTTCGTCTGTGTGATCTTCGTTCTGCTGATTGTTGAACAAGAAATAAACTGGTTGATTGTTTTTATCTTTTGCACATCTGAGGTTTGCAGCTTCAAGAGCTTGAAGAGCATTTTTAGGTGTTCTTCCATTGGAGTGAGTGATGAGAGCCACAATGTTTTTCCATGTCATTTCCAAACAGAGACATCACCGAATCAAAGATGTACATCAATCTGTCACTTAGTCTGTTATCGGTCGCCTTCATCACCAGACCCACTGCATGAAGTATCTGAACACCGTCTTCTGTCTCAAACAAGGTCCGCATCCTGTCAATGACGACGCCATCTTGTTCGATTCCTTTGCTGCTTCCATATCCAGGAGTATCAATGATGGTGATCGAATAGGGCAGAATTTTACCTTCACAACTACAGATCTCATATATGATCACATCTGGTGTTTCACCTTCTTGCCTATCTACGATCTGAAACCAGACCCCATCCTCAAACTGAACTCCCATTACATGGTTGAAAACAGCATTGACCAAAGAGGATTTTCCTGACCCTGTTTCACCAACAAGTAAGATGGTTTTATTAATCTGCTTAGTGTCTTTTGTACCAAAAGTCACTTTGGACAGAGCTCCAAACTTCTTCGTTTCTGTTTTCAGTTGATAGATCTTTGGATGTCCTGAGGAGATTAAGTCACTCGTGGAAATCAGTTTTGTGAGAGTAGGATTCTTGATCCTGCAAAAGAAAAAGCACAAACTTGCTCAAAGGACCTTTGATCTTTGGTACATATAGGAAGAGTAACAAAAAATAAACAAAAATACAAAGTGTAATTGTATTTTTGATAGAGTTTAATGGGAGACATTGTTTGGAGACAACATCCAATTAAAGGCCCATCCAGGTAGCTATTTTTCCCTAAAGTAGTTAAAGTGTTAGTCTTGACAATCTTCTTTTCTAATACTCTACAGGGAACATGCCAGTTAAACTTAAACCTGCATTCCTATTGTTTTCCTCTAAAGTGTTAAATGTTTCTTTATCCTTTAATGATTTCTCCTTCCACCCAGGTACAAACTGGTTTCTCACGATTAAAGCATTTTGTTCTGTATAATATAAATAAACTATGTCGATGAAATGCAACACTAAGAAACCAATGCCTGTTATCCAACAAATATTCCTTTATTCAAAGCCAAAGAAAGACAGATTTACTTTACCAAGCCAGTCTATTGTACAACCAAGAAAATTGATTACAATAATTTTATATCATATTAACATATCTTGAACTGTAAAGAAATGTTTGTAAAGCATTTCAACAAGTTCTGACTTGGCTTGTCTGATCAGACTCCAGGCTGTACAAACATCTTAACCAACTTCACAGCTCAGAGATTTAATGCATTCAACGGTTCTCCATCCCTTTAAATGACACATCAGAAATGTATTCACTGTAATCTGTTAGGGAAAAACTACAAGAAAATCTATTGATTAAAATTAGCATATTTACAGAAATAAAGTTTGCTAAGAAAACAGTTTTCTCATGTTGTAAAAACTAAACTTAAACTTTTTAGGTTTAGTCATTACTGTCCATCTGGAAAGTATAGAAAGCCCTTAACTGTTTCCAGATTATTATTGCAGCCTTTTCCCAAATATTATTAGTTTCCTTCTTCAAACTCTACACAAATGCCCCATCAATAGACTTTGGACATTTTATAAAAAGTTTTGTAAATGCATTAATATTAGAAACCAATGAATCACATTTACATAAGTATTCACAGCTTTGGGTAAACACAGTGTAGTGAATGCTTCCCACATGCACTGTACAATAATAATGAAGTAAAATATATGGAGGGTTACATAGTGTTGTTTGAATTATAGGAAACTATTTATATCAGTTTCTAAAGAAGACATCTACAGCAGGCTTCACATTTGTTTTGGCCAGGGTTGTGTATTGATGTTCAAGGTGTCAGTATGTTTCTCTTCTGTTCATTACGTTGTGTCTGTCATTTTACCACACACATACTGCAGAGCTAATTTAGTTCCTTCATCCTGTCTGCTCTTGATCTCCTCCAGCTTCTGCACCTTCGCTCGATCTCCATTTTCTTTCATCTTCTCAATCAGAAAGTCCAAGTACAAAAATGTAGAAACTGAATCAACCTTCAGGGCGATCTGCTCCAGTCTGACCACATGTTTGAAGGCTTCTTCAACAAGTTGGGACTTCTCTGTTGAAAGTTCCTTCAATTCCTTTTGCATATGTTCTAAAAGACTTAACTTCTTCTCACAGTCAGCCTTGTTCTTCATATACTTCTCTTCCATAGCTTTCACAGTCCACTGAACTCTTCTGGTCTTGTTGACATATCTCCAGGCCTCTCTCACATGAGCCGATGCAGGACACTTCCCAGTGCAGACAGTGCAGCGGCCTCTCTTTATCACCTCGCAGTGTTGCGGACTCGGAACAAGTGTACATCCAGGATAGTGACAGTTTTCCTCACAGACTGTGCAGCACACAGCTTTTTCAAATAACTAAGCCTCATCAACTTTTTACCTTTAGTAGGTTCCTTCGCCTTGTAGACTTCTGTAATTTCTACAGTGAAGTTTTTATTCTTCTTCATTTCCTCTGAATGTTTCCTGATAGCTTCTAGGGTTTTATTAATTTCCACCTCTTTCTGTTCAGTCAGTTGGATTCTGTCCTGGAGGTTTGGAGAGAGGATATCAGGCTGATGCGCTCATTCAAAACTTCAGCAGTGGTCATCAGTCTTGTAGGTGCAGTTTTTTCCAGGAATCCTGTGAGTGCTCTCATTCCTTTGTCTGAAATTTTGTCTGCCATTTGCAGGAATTCTGCGTCGTCTTCTTCTGTTCGGTCTTCATTCTGGCAGTTATCAAACAGAAAGTGAACAGGCTGGTTCTTTTCATTTTGGCACATTTAATTTTTGTTTGTTGAAGGGCTTCGATGGCGTTTCTGGGTCTCTGTCCATCTGAGTGAGTGA